TTCACATAGTACAGCCCAGGGTTTATAGGCTACGTAGGATACCTCTGCTTCTGTGTGCTGCTTACAAACCCTGCTGTCTTTGGCTGTGTATGTGGCCCATCCAAGATGGGGCAGCTGCTTTAGTGTCTCTGCTAGGTGGCTTTGAATGTCTGTCTACCTAGGAGCTATTTTATGATTCACAACCTTATAACATTCAGAGAGATCTTCAGTTTTCCTTCTCTGTTTCTTCTATTCTGTGACCCTTTGGTACAGGCCTCATACCTTGAATAGCACCAGCACTTCAAAGTCATTTCAGAGCACAGTTACAGGAGAACTAAATGCACCTTACAGTAAACAGTTTGTCCATTCAAAGTCTTCTCAGTATCGGAAGATGAAGACCGAATGGAAGTCCAACGTCTATCTGGCACGGTCGCGTATTCAGGTCAGTTTGGACCAGGAAAGTATTAATTATATTTTTGTATTGAAAATACCAGATATATTTTAAAATAGCACTTATTTAATAAACATATTTTATATTTATTATTTTTTTCATTTACATATTCATGCTGATTTATCCTTCATTGAAGCTCACTTTTTGTTTATTTATTACTAGCATCTGTTTGCTGCCTACTTGAACAACTCCATTAAATTGCAACTGATTAATCTCCGTTGAACATAGTGGAACTTTCTCTCAGTACAGGTAGTCCTCCACTTAGGACTGGTCACTGAGCAACCATTTGAAGTTATGAAGGACCTTCCCATAGCTATTTATGACCTGGTTTCAAAGTCCTGATGACCTGTGTTCCCACTCCCCTGTGATCGCATGATCATATTTCATGCACTTGGCATTTATGGCCATTTGCATCATCCCATGGTCACATGGCCATGATTTTTTCCCCTCCCATAAACCACGATTTTCTTCTTGCAAAACACAAAAACACCCATTAGGTACAATGGATTTGCTGTGGCACTTGCTTTATGAGTTTGGCATTCTTTAAAGTCATAAGATTGCACAATCATGTGGTGAGTTGCTTAGTGACCACCACAACTCATGCTCATAATTCCAGGTTCAGTTACTGTCATAAGTCAAGGACTACCTGTAACCATTGTAGCATTAGTTGAAAAGAATTGTAGGATTGTTAAACTATCTTAAGTGGCCATATGAGATTTTGAGATCAATTTAAATCAGCAGAAGAGGCCAGTGATGTGCTCTGTTACCAAATCCTTCCTGCCTTTTCAGGGCCTGGGTTTATATGCTGCTAGAGACATTGAAAAGCACACTATGGTCATTGAATATATTGGAACCATCATTCGCAATGAAGTAGCCAACAGGAAGGAGAAGCTTTATGAATCTCAGGTATTCCATAAGACAAGCCTTTGTGTTTCAAGCTTTGTGGGACATGGAGGATCTAATGAGGACAAGAGTTCCGTGGGTTTCTTTAAGGCCTTTGGTGCTAATTATGACTTTACAAGGTTTTAAATAGGTTTTTCATATAGATTTTAATAATATTTGTATTTTCATTGATAACATCATCTTAAGTGACCTAAATAAGGGAAAGCCTAGCTGGCTGACTGACTGGTTATCTCTTTCTTCGTCCGGCCATCCATCCATCCATCATCTATCAATCTACATCTATGTCTATCTCACTATCTGTCTTATCTATCTTGAAGCACTGAGGTATGTGTGTATGTGCGTGTATGTATTTAATTGTTCAGATAAATTTGTTGTGAACCAACCATAGCAACATTTGATTCTTTCATTTGTAGAGGCTAAATGTGACTATGTTTGAGCCTTGGAGTTTCATTTCCATTCTCAAAATCCTAACAAGAATGCTACTGTTTTGGAAAAAGACATTGAAGTTTCTAATGTTTTAATAAACCTTTGGATTGTAATTACAGTTCAGGCATGGCTACATATCATGTCTTTGAATATTGATACTTGTTATGCTAGCTTAGACCTTTTATTTTCTCTCCTTTCTGGTTTCCTCCCCACAGAATCGTGGAGTATACATGTTCCGCATTGATAACGATCATGTCATTGATGCCACATTGACTGGAGGTCCTGCAAGGTGGGTAGTTCTAGAACAGTGGTGTGGGCACACTGTTACCTTCCCACCAAAGTGGTACCTATTAATTTACTCACATTTGCATGCCTTCGAATTGCTAGGTGGGCAGGAATTGGGGCAGGAAGGGGAGCTCACTCTTTTGTGTGGAACTTAGGTCTCGAACTCAGGCTGTCAGTTCTCCAGCTGATAAGCTCAGCATCTTTAATGGCTGAGCCATCGTGCCCCAGTGTGTCAGATTAAAATGGATCAAATTCAGCTTTGGAAGCTCACTGAATGCCCGTTGTGCCAGCCAATTATCTGCATGGGATAATTGTGGAAAAGATTGGAGGAAGGTATGCTGTATATGATACCACCCTGGGCTCCTGACAAACAGGTCACGGGACATCCATGGTCTGTGTATTTTTGAAAAAAACTTCACTTAAAACTTTTTTCCACAGCAGCCCAAGTTGCTGTTGTCTTTATCACCCGTAGTACTTTCCTACTATATCGCAACCTAGTTGTCTTATTTCCTAACCTTAAATACACAATTTTATCTTTTGTTGCTCAAAGTATCATATAGTAAAATTATTGCACAATATATAAAAATGTCTACACTTTTCTTCTCTCCCCTACCTCATAGGTACATTAACCATTCCTGTGCACCCAACTGTGTGGCTGAGGTGGTAACTTTTGAACGGGGACATAAGATCATAATTAGCTCTAACCGGAGAATCCAGAAAGGGGAAGAGGTACGGTTTATATGGCTTTTAGTACCATGCATATATTCATACAATGAATATTCTGTTGCTACTTTTTGCAAAGAACAAAATACTTGGTATTGATGGCTGGCAGACTCTGAGTCTTGCTCTCTAGACTAAAGTCTGTAGGAACCTTAGAATTTGCTCTCTAAGCAGAAGCAGTTTCCCCATCTGAAATGACTTTTTGTTTTTCCTGGGATGCATCCTATCGAAGGCTGGCATGTTTAGGATCCGGAGGGATTTTTTGTTGGGGCAGAAGACCCTTTAGCAACTGGAGCAATTTGTCCTTTGTTAAAATAGAGGCCAAAGGCATTGTTTGGAGGGGGGTGGGCAAGGTTGGTGTCCCCTTTAGGGCAATGAATCAAGATTGAACTAACACATTAATGAAATAAATAATGTTAAGAAAAAACAGAAGCAGACTTTGTCCAGGAAATAATAAGGACCTGAATTATATCTAGAACTAAAAGCAATATTCTAGGGTTGTCTCAGGACTTCTTTTAAGACAGTTGTTACGATGCCCCTTATAGGGTTGGGTTGTCTATAGGCCAGTTTAGTCTAGCG